AGTGTTTTACGGCGCTGGCAACTGCATAATAAGATCATTTATGAGCGGCGGTACACATTGAGCATTTTCAGCTTGGTAGGAATTAATTTTGAATCTTGCTCGGGTGGCGGCCGAAGCCAACTCTTATTGATTTTAGACCACCAAGGGACCTGTGACGTTCGCAACTTGCACACGGGCCTCCGAGATTTTTCGTCCTTATCCGAGAAGGCTATGTGTTAGATATTACAAAAAAATGTATAGTTTTCGGGACAGATGTACAAAAAGACATTTAAATATGGCTAACCTCTCGTTGGTCATTTCCTAACCCACTTGTCCTCCTCCTTTTAGAGACAGATGTAGAGGAAATTGTTTTAGATATTCCTCCTCTCAGAGACAGATATGTACGTGCAGGGAAGTGTTTTAAAGACTAGCCTCTCGTGGTCATTTCCTTTGCCGCTCATCTCCCCCCTTTCAAAGACAGATGTACTGGAAAGTGTTTTAAATATGGCTAACCTCTCGTTGGTCATTTAGGAACCCACTCATCTTCCTCATTTCAGAGACAGATATGTACAGAAAAGTATTTTAGTTATTGAATGGCTTGCCTCTCGCGGTCATTTCCTAACCCACACGTGTTCATACTTTCTCAGATAGATGTATACAGGAAAGTGTTTAGATAAATATAGCTATAGCCCCTCGAGTTGGTCATTTCCTAACTCTCTCGTCCTCCTCTCCAGGACTGCCTGCCGGACAAGCTGGAGACAAAGCGGAAGGTCTGGCAGTCGACGGACCAGTGGGTCAGGGATGACGTCATTCTGGTGTCCTCCGCCACCACTCTGATGCCCTCGCAACTCTCTGAGAAACTGGCTCACAAAAACCGTTTTGTGGTCGTGAATCACGTAAGATTTTGTCGGGATCTCTTGTTTAAAAAAAAATCAAGAATTATAACTTAAATGTCACGTTAATTTATTTTTTATGATTGTTTGGGGGAAAAGAAGGAGGAGGGGGAGGAGGGTGGGGAATGCACTTTGTATGCTGGCGTTTTGCACTCACTGTATGTTGCCAGACACCGATGAGGCATTTCGAGAGGGTAACTCTTGTGTACTTCAGTTTCTATCTACATGTATCTCCCCATTACAAGTTTTTCTCTCCCCCCCCCCTTCTTTCTCTCACTGTTTGAATATATTATCGGACGACACACATTCTTATTTCTTTAACTGTCTCCGCTCTTTTTTCATCCCTGACCATAGACATACAGAAAGATTGGCCTCTCTATTACAATATAAACATAATATTCTTCTATTTCGTATGTGCCTTGTTCCCGTGCGCCTTTTTCATTCAACCAGTCTCTATCAAAAAGATTTCCACCCTTCGCCAATTTCATTATGTGTGTGCAAGACTGTATAGGTCAATCTTATCTCATTTTGACAAGATGTTATTCTAATTTGTATCAGATGGACCCTCATTTTGACAAGATATTCTTTATAACATGTTACAGGTGGACCCCTTGTACTACCTCCGTGCGATGGAAGTGGTGCCGGCCAAGTGGACAGACCCTGACGTAGTGACTAAGACAGTTGCCTTGTTGAAAGAGCTTGGACAGACGCCAGCCACATTGAAAAAAGAAATTCCCGGATTTTTAATCAACCGAGTCCAGTCGATGTTGATGAGAGAAGCCTACCGTCTAGTCCATGTACGTTTTATTTGACTTTGTAGGTCCAGACTACGAGTAGTTTTATTGTTTTCTCGCTGTAGGTCTGGGTGCCTGATTATTATTGCCTGATAACTGTTGAGATATATTTATATGTTATATAGAGTCTGTTATTGCCTGATAGGTGTTGATACAGATACGTTATATGAAATCTGTTATTGCCTGATAACTGTTGATATATAATATATAATGTTATACACAATCTGTTCTCCTCGAGCTGCTGTTGATGATTATGATCATAATAAAGACAGTAAATTATGTGGCTGATGAAAAAGATGACGGTGATGATGGAGGAGAAGAGGAGAAGGCCAGAATAACCAATAAAATGGCCTTGACAATAAACTTTAATGACAGTATGTTCACTTCAAAACGTACAGCATTGATTATGATTATCAACCTTCAAGTTCTAACATCGCTCATCTCCAGAACTTTTATGACAATATATTATTATGGTAACAACAAAACTAACGACATCAGTGAGGATTCTATCACTCATCTCCATAACTTTTATGACAGTATAATCACAAGAAAACTTACAGCATCGGTGATGATTCTCAACTCTCAAACTCTAACGTCGCTCATCTTTATAACTTTTAAGACAGTATAATATCCGGTAACAACAAACCCTACCACATCAATGATGATTCACAACCACCAACTTCTAACGTCACTCATCTCCGTCTCTATGACCAGACTCTTCCTGGGATCGGGCTAGTGATAGAAATATATATGCATGTTTCACCCATGACGAGATATACGTGCACAACCTGTACTTTTTCATTTAATAGAAACTTTATTTAGCTCAATGAGTGTTTTATATGATATGATGTGGGCCAATGGCCTTAAACACTGAATAAACTTACTTAGCCCCCTCCCCAGGGCAGTGCTACTGACTGAAGTGTCTTTAAAGCCATTCCCAAAGGGGGGAATATTTGCATGCTCTTATGCACTGTAGAATTGTGAATTTGGCTGATTTATCAATGTCATGCTCATACTGTGCCGGATCAACATAGGGGGAACTGCTGCTTTTTCTTTCCTCATCCTTACCATCATCATTTTTTTTCCTCTACTTCTTTTGTATGTTTGTCACTCTCTTGTGAACTGCTATTTCCGGGGTGCCTTGATCGTCGAAGCAGACTTTGTGCTGTTGAGGCTAGAGGGATGAGCAGAGTAAGTCTGAATTCCCGTTAGGACTTCTCTCTGTTAACATCCACCCCTTGGCGCTAATGACCTTATGCAGTTGCAAGCGCCATAAAATCCTACGAAAATTAAACTAAAACTTACTTACTTACTTACTCTCCCCAGGACGGTGTCATCTCTGCAGACGAGTGCGACACTCTGATGACTGAGGGCATCGGCCTACGCTATGCGCTCATGGGACCCTGGGAAGCAGTCTATCTGGATGCTAGTGGTAAAAAAAAGTTATTTTTGTTAAAAAAAAATTAAACTAAAGTTGGCCTAGATAATGCTCTCGACTTCCTCCCCCCCCCCCCCAACCACTCCTTTCAACAACAAAATTTAAGATGAGAACATGAAGCACTCAAATTTTTGTCATCATCATCATCATTGCCTTTCTCACCCTGGATCAGGATTTAGATTATGAACAAACACTTTCCATTGTTCCCTATCCTGGACTAGTCGCTTGATGTCACTCCATGTCTTACTTTTCTGTACATCTATTTCTGTGACTCTTCTTCAGGTTCCATGTGGTCTTCCCCTTGATCTTCTACCCTGTGGGTTCCAATTTTTTTGTAAAATGACATTATTCCCCCCCCCCCCCCTCTCCTGCTTCTCCCTAGATACTGTTCTGTTACTCACGTTCCCAAAATGTCCAGATGACTATATATAATAAATAATATTATGTTTTGTTGTTGTTTTTTTTCCCCCGTTGATCTCACCCACTGATGATAATAGTGGTTAGCTCATTCTAAGGAATTGAGGAAGAAAAAAGATACCTCAGATTTGAAATCCTTTCATTTTGACAGCAGTGTCACATCAAACTCAAACTGCTTCGAGGCTCCGCGGGTAAGCAGTCTGCTGTGCTTGCATTTTTTCGTTTTAGTAAGAGTTTTACACCACTTGCAACATGACACAATAAGGTCATATAAGTGCTGAAGATTAGAGGTGTTACAAGAGAGTAACAAACACACAAAAAAAGAAAGAAGAGAGATCAGGACAACAGATGTTTGGTAGAAAAAAGAAAGGAGCAGACCACACCAGAGCACCCGCCAACCACCCATTGTGTTTATTCTGCAGGAATGTACAGTCTCCAGGAAAGGTATGGGGACATGGTTTACAAAGCCCAGCTTGACCTGAAACCTGAACTACCGATGGTCGGAGAAACAGTCGACCGTATGCAGGCGTCCATGGAGAGAGTGGCTGGGCCTTCAAGCAATGGAGCGAAGAGAATGAAAGCGCTCGAATCAAAGGTGGCTGCTTTCGCAAAACTAAAACAGGACTTTGATGAGGAAGACAGTAAAGTAAAATAGTAACTTCTGTCGCAGCAGGAAATTGAAATTTATTTTGTGTGTATGTGTGCTATATGTGTGGCTGTGAGATGTTTGTGTGGGAGAGACCGACTCAAAGTGAGCGGTGGTGGTGGTGGTGGGGGGAGAAGAAAGGAGATAGAAGACTAGAGGTGCAAACACTAAGTTTAAGTTCCAAAAACTGCTTATGTGTGTGTGTGTGTGTGTGTGTTTGTGTGTGTTTGTGTGTGTGTGTGCTCGCTTGGACGTGCGTGTGTGTGTGTGTGTGAAAGAGCGAGAGAGAGAGAGTGTGTGTGTGTGTGTGTGTGTGTGAGTGTGTGTGTGTGTGTGTGTCTGTCTGTGTGTGTCTGTGTGTTTGAGTGTGCGTGCACATGTGTATACAGGCCAAAGAGAGAAACTTGCAATTGTACACATAGAATAAGGTGTGTATCTAAAATAAAGTCTTTATTTCAATGAAAACATAATATTAGTCCAAATACAAAGCTTACCCATGATCCATCTCGAGTCACCATACATGACAGAAAAACAACAAAAATAAAATTACTTTCAAACAGATGCACATTTGTCTGTCTATTTGTCTGTCTGTTTGCTGGTCTATCTGTCTTTGCAAAGTGAGGACAGACGATGCATTCCAGTATCATCTCAATGTTGGCGTAAGCTGACAAAACACCTTTTTTTTTCTTCAGAGCAGTTTCGAGAAAATAGTTTTTTTTGTCAGCACAATCATTTAAAAATAGAGCCATTTCAATTCTAATTTATTCAAAAACTAGATACAGTTTCAGGTTGATTAAAAAAAAATTTTTTTTTTTTTTTAACAAAAGTAGGGTAACTGATCAGGCTTTCGATTGAGCAAATAAAAATTGTTAGCGCCAAAATTTAAAAAAAAAGCGTTTTGTCAGCCTACGGCAGAATAGTTTTGTCCTTGATGCATGGAACCTACCACTTACAGCACCAGCCGACATTGACAACAGAGTAAGTGTGCCAAAGTTGTTCAAAGTAGAAATGAGATACTTCGGCAAAATCCTGGATACCAACCCCTACAAAAATACAAAAAATTTGCAAAATTGTCTACCGGAACATTTAATGCCACTTGCAAGACTGTGACTTTCATTATTTATGGGATGTGATCTCCGAATTACACATCCATCTCCGAATAAGCTGAGTAAAATAGGAAAATTTGACAAAATGGCCGTTCCCAAGGACACAAAGTCAGTCCAAGCTGATCTTCGAACCCCAGACCCTGTGATCAAGATAACAACCTAAATGAAATATGGCACTTTATGTATGGTCTACGGAACAGAATTCAAAATCATTAACATTTATTTCAGATTTTTGAATGTAAAGAAATATTGTTTCAAAGTCAATGGATAGATCTAAACAGAAAAAAAAAATGGTGAGTCGCTTTAAACGTATATATGGTACACTCAAGGAGTTTAGAACTTTTAATCTCCTTGGGTACACTGCAACTCTTCTATGAATGGAGGTAGAAGGGAGTCAAATTCTATTGATTGGGCAGTAGTAACATCTTTAGTCACAGTCCTTATTGCTGGCAATGCGGGGAAACCATGCAAAACTCTAGAAGAACAACAAGAAACAAACATTTGAGCCTACTTCCATCTGCAAAGGTTGGAGTTGATGGAGAACAAGTTCAACATCCCAAGACATACATTTTAAAAACACATGTAACAGCAATAATGATAAATAATATTAATTTATATAATAATAATAATACCTATAAACTGTAACCATGGACCTCAATTCATGCCTTTGCCATAGGCGGTGTAGAGATATCTAGCATACAGGACATACACAGCAGTAGGCCTAATGCTGTCTTCTTACTATACATGATACACACCAGCCGCTTCCAAAGGATTTCACAGATGTAGAAAAAAACCAACCAGGCGGTGAATCTTTTGTCGATGCCGGGTGTTCACTGTTTGCATTTACATAGATCGAAGATAAAAAGCTATACCTCAAAAAAACATCTGGATACATTTATATAATTGAAGAAGAAAAAAACTATACATGACATGATACACATAAAAATATAGAGGAAGAAAGAAGGAAGAATAAGGCAACATGCTTGTCATGGTGAGATGCGGGGAAACAGCTCATGACAAATAGTGGCCGACCAGAAGTCTACCAAAACTGGCTCATCCAAATTTAAGTGTAAGGAATGTTCTAGACTTCAGCATCCAGAAGTAGGCTCTCATTGGGAAGCATAATACAGTGATCTTTGCACACATAAGGAACTTTCATAAAATAATTTTCAGATGCAAGAATCCTACTTTTTATTTTTGTATATATCTTCTAATCACACAGGAAATTAATAAGATGATTTTTATGGTATACTCATTCACTGAAGGTGCGGTGGCAGAGCGGTTAGTGCGCTTGTCTCCGAAGCTGAAAGTCCGTGTTCAAGCCTCAGTTCGGACACAAATTTTTTCACCCCCTCCTGCCCTTCCAGCAGTAATAGGTACCTGACTTCGAGTTGAGAAAGTAAAGGCGGCGTGGAAAGGAACTGGCTATCCTACCACAATATGCCGAAGGCCCAGGAAGTTGTCTTACTAACAAGGCAATCCCCAATGTCCAGCTTGTAAGTGGGACCAACATTACTTTTTTTTTAGTCATTCAATGCTACAGATGAGAATTCCAACTAGGTAAATGAAGAATTATTCCGTATTCTGCCTTTTCATATATAGAAAAATAATCATCATAGTTCCATCTGAGTAACTAAATCTTAGTGTTATATATTATCGGAAAGGTCAAAGAGACTTGGACTTGGAGTCTTCAATCTTTAATATTGCAAAATTCTGCATTGTTATTTTCCTGTTGTTAAGCAGTAGCTCCTCGATTGTTCGAATCAAGCAACTCCCAAGAGATACACGGTGAAGAGAGGAACATTACTAGTGTACTTGATTTCCACGGAGGAGATAACTTTAGTGATACTTGTGTACAACGCTTTAAAACGGAGGAAGAAAACCAACAAAATGTAGAGCTGTGCACTATTCAGCTGGCATGCCCTTTTTGATCTTCTGTTTACAGGTAACTAGCATTTATGTCGACCTAACCGGAGCAAACACTGAGTTGGATCAACATTGTCGGAAAATTTATTTAGCAATATGCGTGGTTAAAAAAAATAAGGAAAGATTAGTTCTCGATCTATACTCTTTGCTCAGTAAGATGAATATTTTTCTGCATCAACCCACTTATGTGCAACAATAACAAAACGTCCCAGTTTAAAAGAGGAATTCACCGAAACAGAGCTAATCACTGAATGACTAAAGAGGTAAATGTTCTTCTCTATGTCCTCAGAGACATGCAGGACAAAACAATTAACAATTTCTTTATGGACTTTGCAGTCATGGCAGGACTGGGTTATCATATTTAATTTTATGCTCAGAGTTTAGAAGTGGATCAAGTCTTTTTTTTTTTTTAGTAGAGGTTTTACGGCGCTCGCAACTGCATAAAAGGTCATATGAGCGCCAGAAGATTAGAGGTGTTACAAGAGAGTAACAAACGTAAAAAAGAAGGAGGAGAGATCAGGACGACAGATGTTTGATAGGAAAGAAGGAGCAAACCACACCAGAGCACCCGCCAACCACCCACGGATGAATAGTCTGTGGCAATGATCCTGTGACAGGTGAATATTTTAGTTTTAGTAAGAGTTTTACGGCACTTGCAACACAATAAGGTCATATAAGTGCCGAAGATTAGAGGTGTTACAAGAGAGTAACAAACGAAAAAAAGAAGGAGGAGAGATCACGACGATAGATGTTTGATAGGAAAGAAGGAGTAAACCACACCAGAGCACCCGCCAACCACCCACACTTGAACATGAACCCAGCAAAGGTGACGTAGACAGAAACTTCAAATATCAAAAGCCTGCCCCTGTGGTTTTATGTACCGCATAATTTAGCAAAATTTGATCATTTTTGCATAATTTCTTATTATTTTCCTTTATCATTCTTTGTTAAAATCAACAGAAGGCATAATTTCACATTTTTGGGCTCAGTTTGTCTCAATGAACTTTAAATATCCGTAACTTAGATGTAAATTGTTTTATAGTCTTGATTTTCAGCAGAATTAAATCTCCATGAATCCTGATTACTCATGCTAAAAAAGTTTGATTTGTCTGTATCACTCTTTACAAAATTTACACAAAGTTTGAGTTTCACTAAGTTTGGAACAGTAGATCAGTGATTTATTTGTTCCACACAAATTCCCAAGACCAAATAGAACACCATGATCCAGATTGCAGTCTGACCAAATAGAATTAGGGAGTGCTTATTTAGGCCACATATGGCCTAAATAAGGTAAGGGAGGGGGGTTTAGCTTATTTAGGCCACACATGCTCAAACTACCCTTTTCAGGCAACTGAGTTCGTTCCACTTTCATAATGGTGCACCTTTCTCATTTAGTACAGTTTTGTCTCAGTGTACAACTTATAAATCATAA